GCAGCAAATACAAATATAGATATTGGTACTCATATTTTTTATGAGTCCAAAAGTGTTAGTCTTTACATGCTTCTTCTTGCTTTATGCCTCAATATGATTGCAGTATCATGATTCATTCCAGAGTATGAGCCTAGAATGAGTAATGATACTAACAAAATCTTGTTCTTAGCATAGTCGTTAATTTCATTGTCTTGAATTAAATCTTTTGACTTTGAAATTTGACAAGCATAGATTCAGATCAGAGATTGGCATAAAACAAGTTTACAGCACTGTCATAGTATTGTCACAAACAGAAGAAGAAATAAAAGGTTTTTCATAGAATTGTCCTTTAACACATATTTTATGATAGCCTTAAATTTCTAAAGGAGCAATTAAGTCACTTAAGATATTATCTTTAGATGCTGACTCCTTATTATCAATATTGAAGCAAGATAGATTGGAGTTATCTCTTTCTATTTAATAATTGATTTGTATTCCCAGATTCAGATTGGTTCTTCAGAAGAGGTAATGACCATCAATGTTTGATTACATTCTTCATCAGATTCTGAATCCACAATCATGTCAGCTTCATTAGAATAAACCTTGGAGATCTCTGACATTTTTCTTTTTGGGTTTTTCTGGCAGTATTTCTCATTGTTCTTAAGATTTGGGAAATCAATTGAAATAAGAATATTTCAGAAGCTTCTGAATTTACTCTTCCATCAACAGATATTACATTTCATTCAACTGGTTGAAAGAGTCCTTTGATAGGGAAGGTTAGTTGCATATCATTGAACATTCCAAAGGAATTTTTCTTCAATAGGCTTAAGGAATGATGATCTGTTAGAAAACTTTTTATCATCTAATTCTATTTCTTTTCTTTGAAGAATGCTATCAAACCTTTCAAGACATAGTCTACTCAAACTTTTGACTTCTTGAGTATGTTTTAATATTAACAAGCATACTTTTTAAAATTTGCTTGGAAAATTTAGATGAAATGTAACTTAATAAGCTTCAACCTGATTCACTTCAAATAAGAACATAAGGATTCAAAGATAGTCTTGAGCATTAGACATATCAATGATGTTGATATACTCATAATGAGATAGAGCACCAACCAGAATGTATCCAACTCTAAAGATATTTTTCAATAAACTTCTTCGGAGCTGGTGAGAGGGACTTTCAGACTTTGATCATCTCTACACCATTAACTTCTATAATATTACCTTTCTCAAGAGTATTCTATAGACCTTCATTAAAGCCCTTTATTAAGACCAATGAATTAAAAATATTGTTTGCTTAATCCGTTATTTAAATTCAGCAGAATCACCTTTTGAATATGGTAAGATTAGCAGTGTAATATTTTCCATAAGGTACTTAACTCCTTCTTGAAGGAAAGTCTTTAGCAGACATATATTTTCTCATTGGATCATTATATGCACCTCTGTTAAGTATTATGCACATACCATGCTCTGATACCAACTGAAACTGAGAAGAATACACAAGAAGGGGGGTTGAATTGTATTCTCTGTTTCTTAACTTTACCTCTGATCAGATTTCAGAATCTAAACTTGTGTTCAGATTCTGATTATACGTTACAACATAATATTAACAGAAGTAATAAAAAGATAAAGAACACACAAAAATTTATATTGGTTCCTCTCAAAAGAGAGTAGTTTAGTCCCCTTGCATCACAAGAGATTTTAACTATAACCAAAACATGATTACAATCGCTTATGCACTTAAGCATAAGACTTTTCTTTGCTCAGACCCTCAGCCTAAGACTTCTGCTTAAACCCCTCAGGTCCAAGACTTCTGCTTAGGTTGCACGAACCCAAGAATTACTTGCTTAAGCCCCTCAGACTCAAGACTTATGCCCAGACCCTCGGTCCAAGACTTCTCTGCTTAGATTCCACGAATCTAAGTCTTTTGCTCAAGCCCCTCAGGCCCAAGACTTCCTTGCTTAAGTTCTAAGAATTCAAGACTTCCTTGCTCATGTTCCATGAACCCAAGACTTCTGCTTAAGCCCAAGACTTTCTGCTTAAACTCACAGTCTAAGAATTTCTGCTCAATCAACAACTGATCAAGACTTTCAATGCTCTAGCACATAGCAGGAGACTTTGATGCTCAAGCACATAACAAGAGACTTTATCTAAAGTACTAAATAATCGTGTTTAGCATAATAGAGAATAAGGTGTACTTGATACAAAATCAGAGGTACATGGTAATCACCTTAACAAAGACTTTAAGCGCTTAAGATTTCTAAGATATTTAATGTTTAATAAATCTTAAGGCTTATTACAATTTACAACATATAATAGAAAATCTGCATACTCGATTGTGTTTCTTATTGTATGATCTTGTTATTCCTCCATCTAGACAGAAGTATATAACACTTCTATCCTTCTTGGCTTTGTTTCTATATTTTCCCTTTTGATTGTTCCTTGTTGAAGACTTTAGTTTGAATCTTCAATAACTTATATAGCAGTTGTAGAAGACTAGCTGTTGGAAGAGATAATTTGAACAAGTGTCTTTATTTCTCCATAATACAAGAGATGTTAAAAGGAGATACACCAAAAAAATCTTAATCCATTGTGTTACATGTTTCACCATTGCGTATTCCATGTAATCTTGTAATGTAGCTCTGTTGAGAGTATATATCCGTAAAGCATGTCAACTCTTCTTGAGTCTTGTGAAAAATAGACTTTAGCTGACAAGCTGATTTGACAATGCAATTTGCTTTCTGCAGTACGGATAACTCAAGCTTTATTATTAATTATGAATGTTCACCAAAAGCTGATACATTAACTTAGTGTAGAGACAATATGTTGCATTTCTGATACTGAGGTCTTCAGCTTCAAAGTCTATGCCAAGCATCACTTAGAGAGTGTTCTTCAGATTCTTATCCATCAGAAGCTAGTAACTCAGCTTCTTTCAAATGCGTCCTTATATCAGATTCTGAATGCCTTCTTTTCAATCCTTAGAACCTGCATACTTGGAACACACATTAGATAACACCATTATTTTTTTAATACTTTGTTATCATCAAAATCCAAGAGATATATGTCATGAAAAAATCTTGTTCTAACACTTTCAACAAGAAGAACAGTAGTAATGAAAGGGAGATTAATGTTACTTACTGTTCCAAAGCCTATGATCTTCCCTTTCTGATAACCTCCGAAGCCAATGACGCATCCAAGCTTCAGTTAGAGGTCTTGGAACATATGCCTTCTTCCCGTCATGTATCGTGAGAATCCAGAGTTCAGGTACCATGACTGGTGTCTTAACTCTGCTGCTAAGGATATCTGCAACATAAATTATTTTGTCCTAAGGTACCCACATCTTTTTGGGTCCTTTTGGTTTAGTCATCCCAGAGTCTTCCACAACTTTGAATTTTTGTGCAGGATATCTATACATGAATGCATGATTAGAACACGCATGAGTTTTTGTTTTAGCTTTAGGTTTTGCAATAGCTTTACCTTTAAGCCTAACATCATTTTGTTTACCAGGGGAAACAAAATGAGATTCAAGAGTGTTGGCTTATCATCTTTTTCAGAATCATAGCCAATAATTTATGTCTCGTTCCTGCTAACGCCATAAATCATGGATGCCTTTAAGTTTCTATTCAGGCTTCTAGCAAGAAACTTCTGGAAAGATTTATCATACTTCTGTATGATATCACCAGAACCTGTAGAGGCTTTAAAAATTATTTTTCTTTCAGGTTTGAGACTCTTGCTTGAAGACACAGAGTTGTTTTTCAAAATAAAATTTTCTTTACTCAAACTTGAAAAATCTTTCTAAAGCTTGCAATATGCTTCTGATTCAGATACATGAATCTTCTTCAGATCCTTATATTTGTCCAGAAGATTCTGATATTTTTCCAGAACCTCGGATAAACTTAACTCGAGCTCAGAACGAAAGAGTTTAGAAAATACCTCTTCAGAATCAGACTCAGATTCTGATTGACTTGTTTCTGCATGAGCTTTTATGAATTCCATTAGAGCCACATTCACTTGCTCTTCTTCAGAGTCATCTTCAGAAGATTCTGAATCGTCCCATGTAGCCATAAGACCATTCTTCTTCCCACGGAAGTCTTTCTTCTTGGGTCTGTCATTCTTCAGCGTGGGGAAGTCATTCTTATAATGACCCAACTCCTTGCATTCATAACAGATGACTTCTTTGTTGGCTCCAGTTTTCTTAATTCCAGAAGTAGACTCAAAACGACCATCTGTCCTTCTTTGTCCTCTGAATTTGCCTTACCTTTTCTTACAAAGTTAATTCACGCGTCTAGAAAGAAGAGACAATTCATCTTCATCTTCTTCTGATTCTTCTTCAGACTCTTCATTGGTATCATTTTAAAGAGCTTTTGTCTTCTCATATTTTCCTGAAGACTTCAAAGCAATAAATTTACTCTTTCTCTTGGATTCATCTTCTTCGAGCTTAATCTCATGACTTTTAATATCATGCTTCCATCTACTCTATTGTCACATTACCACCACCACTCTCACCACCGCAGACCAAAATCTCCTACTCAAAGATTATTGCTCCAATAACCATCGCCACTCTCACTACCGCAGACCAAAATCTCCTACTCATAAATTATTGCTCCAATAACCATCGGTTAAGTTTACCATTTATTTCAAATTTTCTTTTCATTACTCATTTTCCTTAATTACCCGAATAAGAACCACCAACTTTTCTCAATCATCTTAATAAGAAGGGCTTGCACCTCCATTTCATTTATGTAATCCAACTATACACTTATGATTATGACTCGTTTTATTTTACGCATCTAACTATCTTATCCTACGCACCTTCCTCGTGGTTGTTCTGACACTAAACCAGCGAGTCATACCCAGCACGTGTTCGTTATGCAATGCTTAATTTTTTATTCAAACCATTATTGACTCACTATACAACTCAGTGGTCCCACTCAGCTTCTACTAACAGTTCTGAAACTTTCTAACTACTTTCTCTTTGACTCTGACTCTGACTCAGTGACTCAGTTTCAAACTCAACCAATGACGCGAAAGGTTTCAAATTTCTCCGATCTGATCCAAAGGGTCACCGCTTCGTGTCTTCTCAACCCACTTGTTCCAGTAAGAAAGGTAGTTGAAGATGACTCGCCGTACGAATCAGAAGAAAACAGAGACGAAGAAGAAGAAAATTATCATAATGACGACGGTGATGATGATGATGATGATGATGAAGGGCTTGAGGAAGAGAATGACGATTTCAAGGAAGACAAAATGGTGGGGTTGAAGACTTTGAAAGTGAAGCAAATGGAAGTGTTAATGGAGGAAGTTTTCGAAACGGTGTCGTCTATGAAGAGAGCGTACGTGAAGTTACAAGAAGCGCATTCTCCGTGGGACGCAGAGAAGATTAGGGTTGCTGACGTGGCGGTGGTTTCTGAGCTGAGGAAGCTTGCTGTATTGAGGGAACGGTTCCGTCGGAATGGCGGTGGTAATAAGTGTGTTAGGAGAAGAAATTTTGGTGTGGCGTCAGTGAGGGAGGTGGTGGCGCCGTATGAGGCAGTGGTGGAGGAGTTAAAGAATGAGGTGAAGGTGAGGGATTTAGAAGTTCAGAATTTGAAAGAGAAGCTTGAAGGTGTTGTTGCTCTTTCAAGCAATGGTAGTGGTGAAAAGAAACCAGGAAGATCTCAGTCTAAGAGAAAACTAGGAATTCAAGGTACATTATGATTATGAATGCCACTTTGTTTTTTACATAGATTATTAGTTTTATGAAAATGTTGTGTTTCATGTTTGGATTTGGATAATTCAGAAAAGAAAGAAAAAAAAGTTACTTTTTTGGTTTGGACTTTTAGTTTAGATTTGATGCTTTGAAATAGAGAAGTTTTTTTTCCAAAGTGATTCTATGCATGTGCATTTAGGTTTGTTTAGCTTTTGGAATACAATTAAGGGGTTTCAGAAGCTGATTCAAGCTAATACAAAGTTACTGGTTTTTTGTGAAATTTATTCTGCAGCAATTGCAGCAGTGCCAACACAAGAACTGTTTGAAACAACTATGGTGCAAGTTAGAGAAGCATCAAAATCTTTCACATCTATGCTTTTATCTCTAATGCACAATGCACACTGGGATATAACAGCTGCTGTTCGTTCGATCGAAGCAGCTACTGCTTCTACTGACAAATATCGTAATGCTTCGACTTCATCGATTGTATCAGCTCATCATGCTAAGTATGCACTTGATTCTTATATATCTAGGAAGATCTTTCAAGGGTTTGATCATGAAACTTTCTACATGGATGGTAGTCTTGCTTCACTCCTCAACCCTGATCAGTTTCGTCGTGATTGCTTCACTCAGTACCGAGACATGAGGTCCATGGATCCTGGTGAGCTTCTTGGGATCTTACCGACTTGTCATTTTGGCAAATTTTGTTCCAAGAAGTACCTTGCCATTGTTCATCCGAAGATGGAGGAGTCCTTGTTTGGTAACTTGGAGCAGAATGGTCAAGTCCAAGCAGGATACCACCCGAGGAGCGAGTTTTATAATGAATTTTTAGGGTTGGCTAAGACTGTGTGGTTGCTTCATTTACTAGCATTCTCGTTGAATCCTCCGCCGAGTCAATTTGAGGCAAGTCGTGGAGCTGAATTCCATCCACAGTATATGGATAGTGTCGTGAAGTTTTCCGGTGGGCGGGTACCGGCCGGTCAGGTCGTAGGGTTTCCAGTTAGTCCTGGGTTTAAGCTTGGGAATGGATCTGTCATAAAGGCTAGGGTTTATTTGATAGCCAGAACATAAAGTTTTAGGAGAGAGATGAGAGTAATCAAATTATTTGGCTAGCAGGATGAATAGGCTATTGATGTAATATGCAAATCCTTTGGCTAGGTTATTGTTTTTCAGGTGAATTCAGTTTGAACATGCACTATCATTTCATGACATTATCATGAATTTGACCTTGAAGTAATAATTATATAGTTAATTTTCAAATTATGATAGCAAGCATATACTTGTTTATATGTATCTTGGCTTATGATTCATGAACGAGAGGAAGAAACAATTATTGGATTCCCTGAATGCAAAGCTACTTTGGATCTCACAGAGATGACGTTAGTTACAGTAAAATCCATTTTCACTGTTATAGATTCATAAGCAATGTAGTGTACCCAATAACAACATTTGAATTGAGAAACAAGTTATAAACCAAAAATTGGTGTTAATAGATGCTTCATTTCGTTGGTCTGTTCAATAAGTTGGGAAATGGGTAATGTATTTCCCAGAAAGATGATATATCATAATAATACAATACAGTGTACACCTATAAAGTGAATGTAATTTGACAGTAAGAATATATGAATGGTAACATCCACTATCCACGGGCACGCAGGTGACAAAGTACGAAAAAATAATTGTAGAAATCTTTCTCTTGCAGCAAATCTAAGAGCAGTTGGGTGGTTAGCACTCATCCGAGAAAGAAAACGTATTTCTGCTTGCTGAATCTAATCATCATGAAGAGTAACAATAATTTTTATCCTCTAAAAACACCTTTGGCCTGTCACAAGGATCAAATAGTGAGCACTTTAAGTATTAAAAGGCGGAATCATAGCCAAATATACTTTCATGCGAAGTGAAGTTTACCCACAAAACAGTTAACAATATCAAAAGGCAAAAGCAAAGTTTTGTAGCTATTATAGAAGTACTAAAAAGAAATGGTTTTATCGGAAAATTTACGTGTTTTAGCTGAAAACCAATTTAGAACAGGGCAATTCTACTTGGCTATGAATGACAATTTTCAGAACACAGATCTACAAAATTGGTTGTGATCAGAGGCGAAAATAAAGGTCACTAATTCCTCGAGTGGGTATGTTAGAAGCTAAAGCAGAAGAAACAATTTTGCAGAAATTATGCATTCATCAGCAACTAAATTGTAAATTTTCATTCAAAATCTAGACTAGACCAAGACAGATCTGGCATACTCTGTCTAAGCTATGTAATGAGAGCATATACAAGTGGCTCAAACCTTTAAGCAAAACATTTTAGATGGATAAAAAGGTGCAATGTGATATATGAATAAAGAGGTAATTCTACCGGCATAACAGTTTAAAATGTATATCTTACTTGTTCAAGGGTAAGAAACATAATCACATTCCAGGCTCCTACTCGACCAAAATTAGGAAGGAAGCCTTTATAAAAGGCAAAAAATCCCTGCAATACATTTGTGACATGAAATCAAGTTGTCCAAAATAAGAAAATGATAAACTTAATGTGAAGCTTTTCTTCAAACCACCAAGATAGCAGGAACTTTGAAAAATACTCAGTTCACTCCAGAACAGAGAAATAAAGGTTGCATTAAGTATATAAAAAAAAAAGTTATTCATTGTTAAGTTATTAAGTTCCGTCTCTCATGTCCCCTAATAAAATTGATATCTTTGTCATATAAAATAATCAGAACATAAAAGCCTTATAAATACTAACATGATAACAAAAAAGGTGCTAGTTATTGTCAGAAAGCTTTCAACTTCACTGGATTCAAGATTTAAAGTTGCAATACAACAATCACAAAATCAAATAAGAAAGAAGTTCACTAACCTCATTGAAGGAAGTCTTGAGAAAACAGTCAAATGTGTTTTTGTAGCTTGAGTCCCCCATCATCCTGGATTTTACCTGAAAATTTATAAATGTGGATAAATCACAAAATGCTTTAAAAATTTAGATGGCGTTACTGCATAAGAGTTCACCAAAAAACTTCAACTGAACATTTTCATGTACCCCGTGCTATGGTAAATCTTGCTTGCAATAGTTTTAAAATTTCAAAATACCAAGTTACTTATAACTCGACAAGGATGTTTATGGGAGAACACAGTGAAACAGTGCTTTGATTCATCGTTATTGACAGGTCTGTCATTACTATCAAATGTTCATCTAAAACGCAAGTGTGGACTGCAGGTAAAGAAAATAGGAGGGAACGGGCTGCGGTAGAACCTACCACATCAACAGGAGAACCAATAAAGACAGCAAAAAGACCTGCTCCTAAGCCAGCAAGGAGGTGAGTAAAGGCATTGTCCGTGAACCCTGGAATTTTCAAAATCGTCTGCATAAGTATAAAGAATCAGAGCAGCATTGCAATTGCATTTTATGCAAGGCAACAACATTAAATTCTAGCAAAACTCCAATTTAGAATCCCTTATAATGTGATTACCTGTTTCACTTGATCATAACTAGCTAGTTCAGCAGCATTTACAATTGCATTTCGTGCTATATTAGGCCCAAGTCCAGTCCACAAGGCCCCTAAGCCTTCCTAGTTTAACAAATAAATATAGAATGAGATGTAATTTACATATATTAAGGAACCCCCCCAAAAAAAAAAACATCAGAAGAAAATCTAACATGTTTCAATATGGTTGAATATGCATCCATAGCACCAGAATAACGCTTAGGTACCCCAGACGGTAAATGACCTTCAGCTTGAAGCCTAACTTTGACTAGGTCAGTTGGATTAGCGATAGTGATTGCCAAAGCACCTAACACAAGTTTAAAAAAGTGAATCAATAACAATAACATATAAGTATAACCTGTGCTATAAATGAGGAATACCAAATGCTAACCACCTCAACTCTCTTTGAAGCTATAATTCTCCACCCTTCCAATTCAACAAGGAATCATTCTCATTATTTAGAAAGAAAATGAGCATTTAAGACTTGTGTTCAAAAAGAGAAACCAACTAATTTTCTTATGAATTTCCTCAACTCTCAACACTTCCTTTCTCCCCAATTTACAACCTATTTTGTAAACTATCTACATCACCTACATTAAAAGCCAACAACTTAAACCTTCATCAAACAATTACTATTTCACATTTATGATAAGTTCGAGTGCTACCTTATCAAGGTGAAGAAGTCACCTGATAAATTTTTTACTTATACTAATGTTATCTTGGTTTTTTTTTATCATGTAGCCCAGTGGCTGAAATTCACCCTTTAAAGGTGAACAAGTGGGACGTCGCTAATTCCAACCTGCGCCTCTGCATCTGATGTCCCAGCACAGCTACCAACTAGCTGGCTAAACGGAACTATACTAATGTTAACCTAAGAGCATCAAAGAGTTATTTGAAGATATTTTCCTCACAAGAGAATCCAAGATCCTGGAGCTTCCATCAAGCCTTATCAAGAACTCCCTTTTATTTCAACCATACCATTTTAGCAATGAGAAGCAATTGAAAAATGGGCTAATTAAGAAGCAGTAATACTACTAACCAGTTAGAAGAGCAGCAAGTATCATATGGTACAAAGGAACTTCTCCAACAAATGCCGCACCAACAAGAAAAGTTTTAACCTATGAAAAATGCAGTTCATAATCATACAAACAAACCCAAATTACTCCAATCCAAATCAATAACTTGACAGCGCTATAAAAAGAAAATGAATAATTACTAACAGGATCATATAAAGCAATTCTCAAACCACCATACAAACACTGCCTATGCAAACCAGGAACAATGCCTTTCCACAAAGCGTAAACCCCTTCTTCTCTAGCTATAGTTTTAACAGTTCCAAGTAAACCTCTATATTTAGGTAAACCAATTCCACCATCATCATCAACTCCAACACTTCCTTTCTTTTGCAATTGAAGTCTCACCTTAGCTGTATCCAAAGGAATAGTACAAAACTACATTCACAAAAACCAAAAACAAAGATCAAACAACGAATCTAAAAAACAAGATTCACACAAATGTAGAGAAATTGAAGAACCTCAGCGAAACAAGCGGCGAAAGCGCTGCAAAGGAAGGATTGAGCGAACGTAATACGGTTGGGATCTGAGATTGACATTACTGAGTGTAATGTAATGACGAAGATTGAAAAATGGTTGTTGTAGTAACAGTAGTAGAATAGAATCAAAATCAAAGCTAGATCTTGGTATGCTAGAGATGAGTTACTACACCGCTTTATAGTTATTAATAGTAGTAATTTAAATTTTTAATTCAGATGTGTTGCTTTCATGTGCTATGAGTAGGGTTGTTTTTTCTTTACTTGCTCTAACAACTTAACCAGATATTTTTTATTTTTTTCAATTTATTTGGTGATGTTTGGACCTAGTTGGTTAATTTGTCTATTTTAGTTTCACGTACAAATGTGAGAGGTTAAAATGAAAAGGAAAAAGTGTATTTATTTATTATGTTATATTTTGAAAATTTATAACTAAATCAAAACAAAACATTATAGCTTATCTTACTAAATTAAGAGTTGAGATACGGGATAAAGATATGTTTATATTAAATATTAAAGTACGATTGTATAAATAATAGTAATTAAATGGTTTATATTAAGGTTCAACTTTAACTTTTAACTTTTAATTTTATTTTAGATGTATTCACGGAATATATCTAAGAGTTAGCATTGAAATATATATTTTTTGTCGATCATATAGTTTTTTTTAAGAGTTAAAGAATGATTTAAATGAGAGGTTGAAAACTGTAAGACGAGTTTTAAAAACACATGATCTTCGTCTAAGAAAGTAAAATGGAGTATATGAAATGTAAATTCGAGAAGAGAAGAATTGTTTCTAACTTAGAAATGAAAGTTAGAGATCATATTATCCTTCAAATAACATGGTTTAAATATCTTAGGTTTGTAATACAAAATGATGGAGAAATATAAGGGGATGTAAATCATCGAATTCAAGTTGGATGGTTGAAATGGAGAGATGTATCGGGTGATTTATGTGATGCAGAGGTACCGCTTAAGTTGAAGGGAAAGTTTTATCGAACTGTGGTAAGACCTGCGATTTTGTGTGGGACATAATGTTGAGCGGTTAAAAATCAACACGAGAATAAAGTAGGTGTAGCAGATATGGAGATGTTACAATGGATGTGTGGTAAGACTCGACATAATAGAATTAGAAATAAAGATATTAGAGAGAGTATCGGGATAGCCCCTTTAGTGGATAAGATGGTGGAAAATAGACTTAGGTGATTTTGCATGTAGAGAGAAGATTCGTAAATTCTGTAGTAAGGAGGGTAGACCAGATGGAGAGAAGACAAACAATTAGAGGAATGGGAAGACCTATAAAGACTATTAGAGAAGTTATTAAGAAATATCTCAAGATTAATGATTTTGATAGAGACATGGTCCTTGATAGAACATTATGGCAAAAGTTGATCCATTTAGTCGATTCCGCCTAGTAGGATAAGGCTTAGTTGTTGTTGTATATAAATATTATGTAGAGTATTTTAGAATATCATTTTTTCTAAGCAATGAGAATTATATTAAAAGCAAGCATTGGGAATGCTTTAACCCAAAATACAAAGCAAGATACAAATTGATATGATTCCACCAAAAACGAACCATCTACATACCAATTATGTTACAAAAGCATTTGAAAGACAAGAAAACCACAAATGCATATCAATGCACAAGGGCCCTAAGGATCAAGCGCCTAACCAATCCCACAACAAAGATTTAGAAAGCAGTACAATGTCATCTGATCCTTTACGCCTCCCTTTGAAACATATTTTCATTCCTTGTGAGCCAAATTCACCACATGGTGGACAACCAAACTAAAAGCTTGAATTTCTTTGTTTTTCTTCCTTTCATTAGTACTTTGAAGATGGACAAATGGGACACCATGAAGGTGACACAAGAAGGGGGGTTGAATTATGTTTTGTTTTTACTTTCTTTTTAAAACTCTTGTCAGATTTTAAACACGAGGTTATAAAATCTAATTTAGTTAGAGATAGGCAGCGCATAACATAAGCAAGAAAGAAGAATAACACACAAAGTTATCTTGGTTCCTCTCACATATCAAGAGTAATTCAGTCCCTTTGTACTTACAAGATATTTTCACTATAATCACACAAGATTACAATTTGCTCAAACACACAAGAAAGAGACTTCCTTTGCTCGAACACACAAGTAAGAGACTTTCTTGATCTAGCACACAAGCTAGAGACTTTCTTGCTCAAACACACAAGTTTAAGACTTTCTTGCTCTAGCACACAAGCTAAAGACTTCCTTGCTCAAACACACAAGAGACTTCCTTGGTCAAGCACACAAGCTAGAGACTTCCTTTGCTCAAACACTTAGTAAGAGACTTTTAACAATCTACCTAGAAGATAAATGATTGTTGGGTGAATACACTTGATATATAATCAGAGGTGTATAAGTAATACATCATAATAAGACTCTTTTAAGACTTAAGGATTTCTAATATATACAAGGATAAGAAATTCTAAGTTTATCTTATTCTAATACTTTAACAGAGTAACATTTCTTTTTGTTGTTGTCATACCCTAAAATCTGCCTTACTTCTTTCCACTTTTTCATCTGACCTTTGATCCTTAGTTCATTTGCATGCAATATTCACTCATGTCATTTGTTTTACAATTAAATTTTCAAATAATCATCATTGATTCAAAGGTTTATTATTCGTGACACAAGTGTTTGAATTATGACAAGTGATTTATCAAGCTTCATGAGTTATCGCATACTTGAGAATCAAGCATAGGGGATTGTGTTACACTGGATTTGGGATACTCATCTTGGTGGAATCCTAATCTTTGGCCTAGGCTTTGATCATAATGGACTATATCATGGCATTGGAATTTATTATTGATTGCAAGTTTGACTTGGGCAAAGTTAACCGTATGAGATTGACTCTTGTTGACCAACTTATGGGCTTTTTAAAATTGGTTCATTGGCTATTAGATATAAAAATGTAAGATCCAAAGTTATTCAAGACTCATATTCAAATTCAATCAAGGTCCAAGATCAATTTAAGGTCAAATATTCAAAATTCAAAATCAAGCTTTGGATGGAAACTACTTTTCTTGAAGCACAAAACACATATTTCCATTAAAAGACCAATTTCATTACAAAAACACCCTAGGGGTGCTCCTAGTAACGAAACCACGACGAAGGGTGCAAGTTTATGCATTAGGTCGATGACGATGCTAATGAGAAATCGACTTACAAGGGTGTTTTAAAAATGGCTCGACGACGAATCGAGAATTAGTTTAAAATTTGTTTAGTCTATGCTAGTTCTTCGGGGTGCTCTTAGTAAACAAATCACAATCAAAAATCGAGTAAAGTGTGTACATCAGAAGGGGAGCAGGGTACATGTAAGTTACACAAGATTGCAAGAAATAAATAGGGTCATTGTCAGGTAGCCCAAGAGGACCCGTGTGCGTGTGAGGTATCCTAAACTAAGCCACGAGCAAGAGTCAGATACAGCTCTCCTTGCTAGGATTTCTGTATAAACTTCATACTCCATGGCTCGAGAAAAGTAACCAACAGTCCACCAATTGAGTCTTTTAGAGTTTCAATAGTTTAGCGTGTTTTTGAATAGTATGAACAAATGTATGAATAATATGACAAGATGAATATGATATGATCAATATGAACAATAATAATAAAAGCAAGATATATTTGATAGAAAAATAAAACAAGAGTATATCGACGAAAATTAAAGTTAGTTGTTAATGATTAATCGTTAATTGTCATTTGATCGGATGAATCTGGTCCACTATAGCGTTAAACCATTGTAGTACGATCTATGAAGAAGATCATGCTATAGGAGGTCACACAACCAATGATATTTGCGCTAAAACATGATAGAGAAATGATATTGTTAATCATTCTCTAAGAAATCGTGCCACACGAAGAAAAAAGTGGGTGACCTCGTCTTAATCACAAACTTGCGTCGATTAATCGAAGGTAACCTATCACGACCCCAAAGTATAGAAAATGATCTCTATGATCATTTTCTACGGATTTGAAATCACGAAGGTTAAACAACCTCAATTAACAAACATTCACGATATTTAGACTTCATTGACCAAAATGAAAGAAAAATAAAATCGAAATGACATTGGAATGAAAAAATAGAAATGAACAAAAGATTAAGGGACTAAATCAATGAGATAAACATGAAATAAAATGAAAAGAAAATTTTAAAACTAAATAGAAATACTTTTAAAATAAAATGAGGGGAGGTGTTCCAAAAACTTAGGGTAACAAAAATGAAATCATCATGGCATTTAAGCTCATTCATCCATTAAAAGAAGCACGGGTGAAAACAGCAAGATGGGTGGTGGAAATCTACCATGGGCTTTCACGGCCCATGTAACTAACAAGACCATGTGGATCGTAGTTTTAAATCCAATACCATCATCTTTCTTTTTTTTAAGAAAATGGAAAAAATAGGTCCAAGCAACAACATGAGTTTGTAATCAATGAATCAACACCGTTCATCATGAGAAACAACTTGCACAGGAAAAAACAAAGTTAAATGGCGTTGAGAAAAAACAACAACAAACATCATTCTTAAAGTCAATTCCAAAAGCAAAACAAAAAGAAACAGCAAAATGACGTGCGTCTCATTCTGACCTTCTTTCGCGCAACTTCATCCTTTCTAGCTCGTTTCTACTTTCGCGATTCACTCTCCCTCGCCTCGTTGATTCGTTCAGGTTTGTTTTGCGTTTGGATCTCAAGCTTTCTACTTCATCTCTTTCTCTGTTCTGAGTTCTGAGTTAATTTGATGTTGTGAAAACTTGTTTATGGTTTGGAGATTTTGTGGGTGGTTGTGATTGATATGTTGAAGAATGGGTTTGTGGTTTATGAATGAAGAAGGGTTGAAGAGTGCTTGAGGTAAAATTGAAAGGTTTGTGGTTTGTGTTGCAGAAGCGGAAAAGTTATGGTTGAAGAGTTTGTGAAAGTTGAAGATGAATTTAAGGAGAGGCGTGATTTATGGCTACTGATCCCCCTTCAAAATGAAGGAAATATGCAGAGTTTTATAGAGAAGTGGAGAGTTAGATTTTGCACAAGAAGTTTGT